GCAGTAGGTACTAATCAAACTTTAGCTGCTCTATCCTCAAGATACTGGGTCATTGCTGCTCGGGAAGAGATTCGAGCATGGGAGACAGAATGTGCCTTTTGTCGGAGACAAAAAGCTCAACCGAGACCTCAGATTATGGCTCCACTTCCAAAGCTGAGAGTTAGCTATTCACTGAGAGCATTTACTCATGTTGGAGTGGACTATGCAGGGCCTTTTCTGACTATCCAAGGGAGGTCAAAGAAGAGACAAAAACGATATTTGTGTCTTTTCACGTGTATGTCCACTAGGGCTGTACATCTGGAAATGTCATATGGTCTCGATAGTGACTCGTTTTTGAATGCTTTCTTCCGCATGACAAATAGACGAGGAATGCCAAAAGAAGTCGTATCCGATAACGGAGCTAACTTTGTAGGCGCTGTGAAGGAATTGAGAGATCTGGTTGAACAACTTGATGCAACTACGAGATCATCCTTGGCTAATGAGGGAGTCGTCTGGAGATTCAACCCTCCTCATGCACCACATTTTGGTGGTGTATTTGAATGCATGATTAAGTCAGCTAAAAGAGCTATCTTTGCCATTCTGGGTAAAGGCGATGTCACGGATGAAGAGCTAACAACAGCATTTACTGCCGCAGAAGCACTCATAAATTCTCGTCCCCTCACTTATCAAAGTGCTAACTGCCAAGATGATGTACCGTTAACCCCAAATCATCTTATGCATGGGCAAGTCGGTGGAACATTTGCTCCAGATAGTGTTGATACTACGCCATACAACCCCAGAAAACGATGGAGACGAATACAGGAACTGATGAGGCACTTCTGGAGGAGGTGGTTGAGGGAGCTACTACCAACTCTTCAAGTCAGGAAGAAGTGGAGAGAGGCTAACCGCAATCTGAAGGTAAATGATGTCGTCATCGTAGTTTCACCAGATTCTCCACGTGGAAGCTGGCCTTTGGGGAGAATCGTCAACACATATCCAGGCGAGGATGGACATGTCCGAGTGGTACAAGTAAAGATGGGGAAAACTACGCTGATGAGACCTGTGATGAAGGTATGTCCACTCGAGTGGAACGCGGAGGATGACTTGAGAGAACATTAAGCAGATCAGTCATGTGGAGGTTCAGGCGAGATATGTTCATGCAAGCAGTGGGAGCAGGATCGTCGCCGTCTTGAGCATGGATCGTTCGTCTGGAGGATGGATCGTTCGTCGTTCGTCTGGAAGATGGATCGTTCGTCGTCTGGAGGATGGATCGCTCGTCTGGAGCATGGATCGTCGGAGGAGGATTGAATTTGGAAGATTTTGGAAGATTCGAATTAGGATACCAAATGACTATTTTCGAGGGTCAAGAAACAGGATGTGTTGTTTATTGAAATGTGCATTTTTCATTTTGTGATTCATGATTCATGGATATCAGCAGAACATATGATAGACAGGAGTCTATCATGGAGGGGGGAATGGACTGAAGAACAGTTCATGGAATGTCCGAAACACTGCGACCGCGGACACCAGATGAGCATGTTCTCGGATGAGGTTATAGAACAGTTGCGTTTTGGGATGTTCAGTTATGCTATGGATGTTTTGTTTTGTTCTCGGACAATGTGTTGTACATGCGCGAACACAACGCTTCGCAGAAACGCTACTGCACGAGAATTCCATGAATGAATGTTTGTTATATAAACGTATTTCGTGATACTTTGGAGATGGTGTTAAATGAGAGTGTTAGGAGATTGGTGTTGGAGAATTAGAGATTAGTGTTAGAATGTTAGATGGTTGCGTCGAACGGACATCTGTGTGTTAGATGTTTGATATTTTGACGTGTTTGAGATGCTTTGGTCATAATCGGACCTCAGCAAGGTATTGAATCTTTCGTACAGTATCTTGCATTCGTTAGTGTATATATAAATTTACAATTGTGGGGAAATAAAATTTGGATTAAATAATTAGAATTTTTTGTTTTCATTCCACTGCAAAACATCTATCAACGGTGATCCTGTATAATGACAATGTAGCGTGGAGATGGATATACCTGGACGAGTCTAATGTTTGCTGTGGTACACGTCTTGACATTCCGCATCGGTTTTAAACTGTCTCTATGCGTGGAATCTAAAGAGGGGTGAAGGATATCATGCAGATTCTGCCCCAGGTCGGCGACATAAAGTATCCACCAGCCCTCGAGTGTTTCGTGTAAGCGACAAACAGCAGTCCATAATTATAAAAAGGTAGAGTCCGAGGTACATATCCGACTTCATCATCAGCCTACCTGTCGGGAACACTAGCAGTTATGATGCAGAGTGTTCAGTGGTGGGCAAAGCAGATAGTATATTATCGTTAGTATGTACGACCATATTTGCAGATTTCGTATTGCATTGTGGGCTTCTGTATCTCAAAGCAACCAATCAATGACAAGGACACAACTGTAAACGCTTTACAACTCTTGTTGAAACATTTTCAAACAAATAATGGAGACAATATGATAATATTAAAGACAATCAGATGCAATTTCTCATGCATCTTGTAGTAATAGTAATAGTCCACTTTTATGGCGCTCATATCCAGGCACATTGCCTGCTCACGGTACTACGTACATTACTATCCCAGGTCATAGGACACTATCATACTTTTCGATACTTTTTCAACTCCCTGGAGACAAACAGCCATGCTGCCTGTTTGGCACAATGAACTAAACCCTCACATTGCCAGCACATCCTCACGGGTACCTGAGACAATGTGCATCTACGTATCTTGTCCAAGAATACAACGCAAATGTGCCCACCTTGGGACCCGAACCTAGGTGCCTCCATCGGGGATCGAACCCGGGCCTTCAGCGTGATAGGCAGACGCCTTACCACTGCACCATTGTGCTCCACATCTTGTCAAGTCAGGAGAACCTAGGTACTGCGGTAAATAGCACAACAGACGTAATCACGCCCAGCGCCTCAACTGGCATACCAGAGACGTCACAAAGTGTTCATTGAGTCACGAAGTGTTCATTGGGTCACGAAGTGTTCATTGGGTCACGAAGTGTTCATTGAGTCACGAAGTGTTCATTGAGTCACGAAGGAGATAAGACAAGCAATCCGTGATCACAGTTAGAACAAAGGACCGATTCTGATACTTGTCCAGTAAGCTACATGTAATACGAATTCCCAAGGACAGCAACTTCTGATTCGTTATAACAGTATTTTGTAAGACGAAATGCTACTAAAAACAGACAATATGTGCCAGTTTGTGGTAAAAACAGTTCGCTATATCCGTCAGTTCGTTATAAGCGTTTTGGTTTTAGACGCAGTGCTCTGTACAATACGTTCCTCAGGGTGTCGACGTTATGTATTGGACACCAAACATACCACAAACATCCCTGCCACGAACAAAGGAACACCACCTGATACACGAGCAGTGGAGAAGTTGCATTTGGACGCCCGGTAACCATGCATGTGTCATAGATACCGCACACATACCTGGGTCTCTTCTGAAGAGACCCGTGACGATCCGGGGTAGAATAGGTCTTCAGCAACCCATGTGCTTGCCATAAAAAGGCGACTATCTTGTCGTAAGAGGCGACTAACGGGATCGGGTGGTCAGTTTCGCTGACTTGGTTGACACATGTCATCGGTTCCCAATTGCGCAGATCGATGCTCATGCTGTTGATCACTGGATTGTCTGGTCCAGACTCGATTATTTACAGACCGCCGCCATATAGCTGGAATATTGCTGAGTGCGGCGTAAAACTAAACTCACTCACTCACTCACTCTGAAGAGAAAAAGGCACGATATAGGTTTACAATCCAGGGCCACCTGACCATAGGATTCACATATCGGCGTTGTGTATATACAAGTATAGGTTGTACAATCCTGGGCCGCCTGACCTTGGGTTCACATATCGGCGTTGTGTATATACAAGTATAGGTTGTACAATCCTGGGCCACCTGACCATGGGATTCACATATCGGCGTTGTGTATATACAAGTATAGGTTGTACAATCCTGGGCCGCCTGACCATGGGATTCACATATCGGCGTTGTGTATATACAAGTATAGGTTGTACAATCCTGGGCCGCCTGACCATGGGATTCACATATCGGCGTTGTGTATATACAAGTATAGGTTGTACAATCCTGGGCCACCTGACCATGGGATTCACATATCGGCGTTGTGTATATACAAGTATAGGTTGTACAATCCAGGGCCGCCTGACCATGGGATTCACATATCGGCGTTGTGTATATACAAGTATAGGTTGTACAATCCAGGGCTGCCTGACCATGGGATTCACATATCGGCGTTGTGTATATACAAGTATAGGTTGTACAATCCTGGGCCACCTGACCATGGGATTCACATATCGGCGTTGTGTATATACAAGTATAGGTTGTACAATCCTGGGCCACCTGACCATGGGATTCACATATCGGCGTTGTGTATATACAAGTATAGGTTGTACAATCCAGGGCCGCCTGACCATGGGATTCACATATCGGCGTTGTATATATAACACAAGTATAGAGGAAGAGCTTTATTCAGTATTTATGGCCACATGACCAAAAGTACAATTCAATAAGCAAAATATAGCACATGGTCAGGCGAACAATTTACAATTGATACAGGTAAATATAGTTTAAGATAAATTGCAATATTGTTTAGGAGTTTTACATTCTTTGTTGAAAGCAGCTGAGTAAACTTTGATCTGGTTGGAGATATAATATAAAAATCAGTAATGTACAAAGAGCGTTGTGAATAAAATGGACATACGAATAAGAAATGATACTCATCTTGTATCAAATTACAATTACAATTATCACATTTAGTGTAATCAGCATTTACCATATTAAAACGGTTGTGTTGAATTTTAAGTTTAGTACTCATGCATCTGAATTTAAATAAAACTCGTAAGAGATCTTTATCATAGCAAAACTCTGATATATATTTTTCCGGTTCAAGTACAGATTTATATGACGAGTAATGATTTAAGAATGATGAAGAAGTGATTTTTGCATACCAAATCTGTATATCTATATCTTTACATCTCTGTTTAAAAACACTTATAAAACTTGTTACATCTCCACAATCTTGCGATAACCACACAAAAGAAAATCCAGAGTGAAATAAAAGTAAACGTACATGGGATACCCAATGGCGACCACCATTGTCGCCGAATGGTTTTAACATTTCATAGCATGCCTTTAGAATACGATAACTTTCCATATTTAGGAGTCTACACCAGTACTTTATACAACGGGTGAAATACTGTACACAAAGATAGCTTCTACCTGTTTCACATAGTACAATATTTGATGATACAGTTTTGCTAACACGAAGATATATTTTGAAATAATAACTTTGTATTTTTTTCAATGTTTTGACGATAGGTAAATAGAGAATACTACACGAGGTCTCATTACATACGAATTATACGAAACGAGTGTCCTTCCTATGGTATCTTACCGAGCGAAAGCGAGGTCAGATAACATAGGAAGGTCACGAGTTTCGTATAATTCGTATGTAATGAGACCGAGTGTGGTATTTTATTTATTACCCACGTCTTACATGCTTTAAATTGACAAAATAACGTAGTTTTGTTAATATTTTGGTTTCAAACCGAAACCGGTTTCATAAAGAGGTTGCGGAAGAGTTTTGTACTGTAGTACAATATTTGCATGACGTCACTGTAATGACGTCACTGACTTGGTAACCGACGTCACGATGCATGTCAGTTGTCATCGCCTCGTACAGCCTCCACCCCGTTTCTTGGTTTGCAGTTGCTTCATTCGGCTAACATCACTGGTGGAAACATTGCGTTTACGTTTTTCGACGGGTTTAATGTCTCAGTTCGACTCACAATTAAACAGCGACACGACAAAGTTCGCGATGTTTACATTCCCACAATGCATTTAGTTGTAGAATGAATGGATCCACGTGTTTGTTATGAATGAAAAAATAGTTACGTCAGAATGTGACCTAATTGAGAGGTCATCGGTTATCCAATCAAATCGTTAGAATCTCAGGTCAAGTCGTTACGACACAGGTCAACGCGATACGACACTCGTGTGACGTACGAGATTAGTATGCAACTACCCATACGTTGACCACGTGGGTAATAAAACCCCATATTTCTGCACCATAAAGCAACATCGGTGCAATTTTGCTATCAAATATAGTACATGCCTCATTCAAAGAGATATTTTGATAAGTTCTGAAAAGAGAACATATCGGAAATGAAGCCTTCCTGGCTTGTAAAGCTAATGTTTCACATGCTTTAGACCAGTACAATTTTGATGTGAAAACAATGCCAAGATATTTATAATGAGATAAAACCTTCATGTTTGTACCATTATAAAGCCATTTTTCGTTATTTCGAAGATAGCCACCATTCCTGAAAACAATAATGCAGGATTTATCTAAGTTAACTTCTAGACCCCATTTGTTACAAAATGATTTTAATGTATCCATTTTTTTTTGTAAACCTATTACTGTGTCTTCAATGAGAGTGACGTCATCTGCGAATAACAATAAAAGTATATCATTCATACCATTTTTCACAAATATTCCACGTAGGCCACATGCATTCATTTCATCTACTAATTCGTTGATAAAGAAAATGAACAGAACAGGACTGAGAATACATCCTTGTCATAGTCCAGATGTTGTCGAGAATACTTCTGTTCGTACACTAGATATTTTCACACAAGTAGATACCTTATCATACATGTTTTTGAGGATTCGTATTATTTTCCCATGTATACCTTTGGAGATAAGAGCATATGAAAGCTTGTTTCTGTTTATTTAATCAGAGGCCTTCCGACAGTCAATGAAAGCTGCGTAAAACCGATGTTTACGTTTTCTTAAATACTTTTGGCATAGAGCTTGCAGAACGAACATATTATCAGCTGATGAGTAATCGAGCCTACATCCTGCCTGACATTCATGCAATATATCGTTTAAATCTAACCAGATACGGATTCTGACTTCGAGGCTAGAAGTGAATATTTTCCCTTTACATTCAACAAAGAGATTCCACGATAGTTATTTGGTTCATGAGTGCTTCCTTTTTTATAGAGAGGAATGATCAAGCCAACATTCCAGATATCAGGAAAAATGCCGCATGTTTGAAGAATTCGGGTGGTGTTCCATCAATACCTGGGGATTTACCAGATTTTAACACTTTGATTGCATTTTCTATTTCTGTTCTGGTAATTGGTGCAGATAAAAAGTCAGTATTGTTACAGTCCGCACAGTAATCATGCTGTGTCAAAAATGCGTCAACATTCTCATTGAACTCAACATTTGTTTCCCGACACGTCGGGTTTAACAAGTTCTTAAAAGATGTCACCCACTTATCTGCCGTAATTGTGTTATTTTCATTACAATTGCTCATTACAGATTTTATCTTATGCCAGAACTTCTTACAGTCACCACTTTTAGCTGCACTCTGAATCTCATCAGCAATACCACCGTTAAACATGTACTATAGTTGTGATGTGTACTACAGTTTTGATGTGTACTATAGCTATGACGTGTACTATAGTTATGACGTATACTATAGTTATGACGTGTACTATAGTTGTGACGTGTACTATAGTTGTGACGTGTGTATAGTTAAGACGTGTGCTATAGTTATGCCGTGCACTATAGTTGTGACGTGTACTATAGTTTTGATGTGTACTATAGCTATGACGTGTACTATATTTATGACGTGTACTATTGTTATGACGTGTGCTACAGTTGTGACGTTTACTATAGGTATGACGTGTGTTATAGTTATGACTGTGTACTATAGTTAGTTAGCTATGACGTGTGCTATAGTTATGATGTGTACTGTAGTGATGACGTGTGCTATAGTTATGACGTGTACTATAGTTGTGACGTGTACTATAGTTATGACGTGTGCTACAGTTGTGACGTTTACTATAGGTATGACGTGTGTTATAGTTATCGACTCGATCAGGCAATTCTCCGAGTATGGACCCAAGTGCGTATGACCTTCATCGACCGGCTAATTGATTCCATGTACAGACGATGCAAAGATTTCATCGATCCCCATAGAGGCCACACACGATACTGACTTTGGGGTATCTTAATTGTACCATTTTGGGGGATTTTGTTTGTATGAACTCTAAATGTGTTTTCCCGAAAATGTGTTAACCATAACTGTCAAGTTTGAACTCAATCCTCTGTTTTAAGTGAGTGAGTGAGTGAGTTAAAATTTAAAGTCACTTTGGCAATATTTCAGCCATATCGTGACTAAAAAAACATATATATTAACAATAATCAAAGATAGAGTATAAAATCCTGTCAACGAAGGACAGTAAAACAACTAGAATATCAAAGACATATGTAAAGCTAGTAATTGAATCTAAAACATTTTTTTAACACAATGTAAAAATAGGCTATAGATCACCAGCAATTGAAGGTAGTTCATCATACTAGGGACCATGGGGACTTACAGTACCTTTGCTACCTGCATGGACCCGAGCTGGATTTACACCATCCCTTCAGCCGCTGGAGATTGTAAGAAAAATTTGGCCGGAAGTTAAACAAAAATACTACGGTTAAAATGTGGTAAATTTATAGTTTACTTTGAAAGTTATGGGACTTACGTACCCTCTCAGGAGGACAATCATTCTACAGTACTTTAACCCCCTTTGAGGGTACAGCCACTAACAATCTAAGTTACTCATCTAAACTACCAATAAAATAATACCAATCTATTTACAAACTATTCATCAAAATTTATCTAGCAATTCTATTTCTTTTAGAAATTCAATGATTAAATGATAATTAACACTAAAAAGATCCTTCACTGTTTTGACATTTAAATACTTATCCCTTGTGATGGCAAAATCAATACAGTCAATCAAGACATGCTTGACCGTGATTCTTTCATCACAAGGGATACAACACGGAGGATCCTCACCTTTTAACAGATATTCATGAGTATATCTTGTGTGGCCAATGCGACATCGTCGCATGATGACCTCTTCAAATCTGGACTGACAACCCAAGTAGGTGTAACCAATATAGGGTTTTATTTCATGTAATTTATTAATATCTACTTGTGTGTCCCACTTCTTCTGCATCAGATCACGGATGTAAGTTTTAATGCTAGCTTTGTAATCAGAGTATGGAATAAGAAGTAGTGTCACAGATTTGTTGAGTGCTGCCTTGGCAGCAAGATCGGCCATTGTATTCCCAGAAATGCCAACGTGGCTGGGTAACCAACAAAAGACGATGTCGCATTGGCCAGTTGCAAGATCAGTATACAATTCAATTATGTCAATTAAAAGTAGATGTTTACAAGAAAAAAAATTAATAGCCTGAAGGCAAGAAAGAGAATCTGAAAATATGATGTATTGTTTATATTTGGGGTGTTTATTAATGTATTTAAGAGCTGTTGGCGTTAGCTTCTGCTGTGAAAAAAGAGTTGTTATTGGGCAATAGAGAAGATATTGGTTTGGATCTCCAAGACGCTGACACCAGGGATACAGGGGTGTTATACTTCAGAGAGTATGACGTGAACAGCTGTATTGGCCTACCAATTCAATGCCAAACTGGTTCGGAAATTGGACAAGAAATTGGAGACATACATCATTCAGAGGTCAACATCACCAGATTGGCCCATGAGCCACCGCCTTCTGGCATAGGACTCTAGGCAATATAGTATAATAAAAAAGTTACCAATACCCAATAACAAGTTCAATGTGCAAAAATAGTCACCATGCAGAGGGCTTGGCGTGACCAGCCGATTGATAGAACCGGGCCAGTTCTACCACCCGTCTAGGTGAAGTAAGGGCCAAAGTGGTGTGTTGGGCAAAAGGAACACGGTTCCAGGATCCTATTGCCCTCAACCACCAGAATCCAGTCCTCCACCGACACAGGGTCGCAACCCACGGCAAACGGGTTGGTGGACCAAATATACCCCCGGGTCCACAACGGGGGATTGAAGAGCGCTAAGCGTTACCCAGCACCCACCACGAGGAGGTGGCTCTTCACGGGTGCCTCCTCTGTTTTGATTGTTCATTAGAGTGAATGAAAGTGTGTGCTTTAAACATCGCACTGTACCTAGTATTTCATCCAATTTAGTATACTGAGCAAATATTAGCTTTTCTTATAGAGATGCTACCGTTAGTGTCAATCAGAAGAAGTATTTAAAGCGTTTTGATAGCAACTGCTAATCATTAGGCTTATACAGCGTTTAGCAAATGAACACATTTTGATGTTTTTACAGAGGTAAGAGTCTGCTACTCTTGAATGTGAATTAGGAGATAAACGTACTGTGTTTGGAAATTAGATGAATGTTAGACCGAATTGATAGTCTCTAAATTTCATTTGAAGCTAACGCACAGCGCAACGGTTTGTAATGGCGGACGAGCCAATGTTTACATTTTGAGAAAGGTTGAAATTTGAAGTGACAGTGGAAAATACTTGACTGAACCCTGCAGAATCGAGGAATAGATCCTTTTCTGATCGACCTACGACCTGTAACTCATCAAAGACTGTTGATTTTTATGACCGGCGAGTGTCGATCATGATTTCACGTACGTGCCTCCACCCCCGCATGCGACGAAAGTGTGACAGTGCTGCTTTGTGTACATGCCACTAACTTGGGATTCCTTGGAACATTGTTTTCATCATTTGGGACTGGATTGTGGCCAAGCTTTTATTAAAGTGTACGAATATAGATCACCAGCAGTGACAGCCTTGCGGGAAGCTGGCAGAGAGCAGAATTCTGGTGGTTCAATTTTTGACATTTTGTGTATGATTTAGACACGTACTTTTGCCAAGACTTGCGTTTAGATTGCTTGAGGACGCGACGGGCCTTAGCATTTGATATCTTTAATCTATTTAAATTATAGACCGTGGGGTGGTTTCGGAAATACTTTTGTGCCTTTTTCCTTGCTTTTCTAGCTTGTTTTCACTCGTCAGTATACCATGGGTTTCGTATATGTGGACTTGTAGAGGATTTAGGAATGCATTCATCAGCAACTTCCTTCAATTTGTCCGAAAGGATCTGGATAGGGTCACAAACACCCAAAATCAATTCAGGTATTAATGTAGTTTTACATAATGCCTCAAACAAAGACCAATTGGCCTTGGTAAACTTATATCTTGTTCAAGGTTGAACATCATCAGGGTGAACTGGTGTTAGTATAGTTGGAAAATGGTCACTTCCACAGAGGCCACTATGAACCGACCATTCAAATTCATTGAGCAAATCTGAATCAATAAGGGACAAATCAAGTGAGGAGTATGTGCCAGTAGCAGGGTGGAAATAAGTGTGGGAATCATCATTTGAAATACATGTATCAGTATTCGTGATAAAATCCTCAAGAACTTTGCCCTTAGTGTTCGTTTGTGTACCGCCCCAAAGCGGACTGTGACCATTTAGATCGCTCATGATGATACATGGTTTAGGTAATTGATCATACAAAGCTTGGAGATGAGACTGTTGAAGAACAAAAGAAGGTGGAATATACAAAGAGCACAATGTAAACACAATGTGCAATGCAATTCGCACAGCAACAGCTTGAAGGTTGACATTCAGCGAGACAGGGCTGTGAATCACTCCCTCCCTCACTAAAATAGATGAGCCTTCAGTAGCCCTTACCCCAGGGGGAGAAAAACAATGGTACGAGCTGTAGTGACGTAAATTAATTGCATCTGTCTCCTTCAAATACCTTTCTTGAAGGCAAAAAGCTGAAGGTTTCAGTTCCTGGTCCAATAACTGTAAATCATTTAAATTTGAATAATTCCTCTGCTAGAATTGAGAGATCTGTGAGGAGATACACTGACAGGGAGTCCGACAAATTCATCAATTGACAAGTTTGATGCTTGTTGTCGTTTTGGCACATTCAATGAGAATTGATCCAGTTCTCAACCGTTTGATGTTTTAACATCCCCGCGATTCCGTGAATGCCCTTAGCAACAACAAAGGGTTAAGTTTAATTGGGGTTTTGTCAGGTGTTTCCATCACCAAGAATCGTGGCCAGTATTCAACTGATTTTGAAATCCGTTTGATATCGTCCGTTCCAGGATCATTTTCGAGCGTACGTTTGGACTTTTAAGGAGTTTGGAAAGCCATGTTTGTGATTAAAGTTTCATCATCCTTACTCCCCACCCGCCCCCGAGTGCCAACGAGGGTAGTATCTAATGCTTGTGGATGTCCAACAGACAGATACCAGGATATAATGATGATATACACCAGTAGTAAGTTCTACCAGTTTGGCTAATGAGCCACCGCCTTCTGGCACCAGCATCTAGGCGAATTTGTTCAACTTTGAAAATCCATCTAACACGTAATGTTTACAAAAACACACAGATCAATAATATTTCCAAAACAACTAAGCCAAATAATTACAGAGCAATGAAAATTAGGTGCTCAGGGCTCGGCATGACCAGGCGATTGATAGAACTGGGCCAGTTCTACCACCCGAGTAAGGGGCGATGTGATGTATTGGGCAAAAGGAACACAGTGTGTGTGTGTGTGTGTGTGTGTGTGTGGTTTTGTTTTGAAGAGCGTTTAGCGTTACCCAGCACCCACTCACGAGGAGGTGGCTCTTTACGGGTGCCACGGACAGACAGACAGACAGTATTTATTCAGTATAGAGGCCCTCGCCCATAATATCTATCAATCAGACTATCAGTGTTTAGTGGGTGCGCAAACAACTTTGCATCCTCTATGTCCTGAGCAGTACATGGTATAAGTATAGGCCAACGATGTATATGACTGCATCATTTTTGCTTTTGCAAAATATTTACGACAGAGTAATGAGTAACTGGTTCTTTAGTGACCTTTGTTATATACCCAGTATTTCTTTCTAAGTATATCATAGGCATTACATAAGTAGTACATGATATTCATTTGCTATATAATGCTGGCATCTGTCTTACATAAAGGGCATAGCCTTCGTTATATTCAACCCTTTATACCTGCCACATCCAACAGCCGTATTAATATTACTGCATCTAAACCTTGATATAGCAATTTTAAATGCATAGGTATATCACAACACAAATATCTTTCTTTTTGAACTCCTTGTAAAATATACATTTAGGAGATT